AAACATTATCTAACTATTAAAATATTCGATTTTATTTTAAGCACGTGTTTTAGTTTAGTTTTGGCCCTGATAAGATTCTTTGTGCTTTGTGATATAACATTTTGGAAGGAAAAATGGGCCCGGACTCGGTTTTTCTGTGTTATCCCTCAAAGTTTTTGCCATTCTTAATGAAGATGATCCAAAACCTAACCAATCAAACCGGTTTTCATGACCGTTTTCCATCCAATATGTTTCTTTTTTGAATATTTTTCTTTTCCAACTTGGAAAATTTTCCACATGTCGTTGTATTGCCAAATGGTAATCAATTTGATGTCTGGATATCAGGAGAAGTTAGTTTTAGTCAAATCTCATAAAATATATCCTTTATACACAAGAATATTAGCGCATCGTAACGTTTTTTTTAAAGAAAACGGAAGTGGTGCTATTATTTTTTTCGGCCTTTTTTTGACTTTTTTTCTTAAAATCTAAAAAAATTATATGTAGACCATATTTTTGATATCCGTATCAATTTTTTCAAATTGGTGGAATACTAATCAAGATAATAAAAAACACTTCTTATAAAAAAATCCCCGTTTTCCACATATTTCTTTAATATTAAGAACCTGTGACGAAGTGGTGCTATTATTTTTTTCGCAACTGTATATTGACAGACATAAAAAGTCTAAGTGAATTTCAATCTAAGAGATTTCTGTGTCTTCTCTTCACAGATAAAATAAAATTAGGGTTGTTGGATATATAGAAAAGTGAGCTGTAGGAAAATCAACAAAAACAACTCCTAAAGTAATTTAAATCTATAAATAATTAAATTTGAAACCATGAATAGTAGTCTCGGTCAAATTCATATAACTTTTGGGCTAAAAATAAATTGTTGCATACTTTTAGACACCTAATTTTGTAATGTTTCCTAAAGATTTTCTTTCCTTATTAAAATGTTAAATTAAATAAAATTGAAGCTGCTGTATTTTTTAGACTCGCCCCACAGTGGCCACTGACCACTGTGATTTAATGCATCCGCATGTGTTGTTCATGTCCCTGACAATGGCTTTGGCCTGGACTTTGGCCACTGCCTGTGGACACAACGTGCAGTGAATTTGATTCGATTAACGCCGCCCAGTTGGCATTGCCATGGCCATTCCCATGGGTGGACCGTCAGACCATCAGACCATCAAATGCATCCATCATCCCGAGATTCAGTGGACAGCAAACTCAATCATTCATGCAATACCGAAATGTTGCCTATTTCGTTGTTTCGCCAGCCGTGTGCATCTCGTTGCATCTGTTAGATGCGAAGCTCTCCTGGCCGAATCGGATCACATTTAGTGGGCGACCTTGCCACCCACATTGCAAATCAATTTGCCAAATGGCACTGCACATATAATACATAATATACATTCCAGGGCCGGGTTATTGCGAATCAGAAAATCATTGCGCTTCGATTAAAACTGTTTGGCCATCTTGTAAACATTTCTATAACACGCTTTTTGCGGATAAATGGGAAATGCGATGGAAAATGCTATGGAACATGCCGGAGTGGAAAATGTGGCTGCCTGTCGATGCACAAGATTACAGATTTTCGATTTCCTTCACCAACACAGAAGCAGAAGAAAACACATGAGCGCACTGGCGGAATCGTTTTCCTTTTAATATTTTTCCATTTTCCTCAATCACACAAAATGTCATAATGGGACTCTAAAATACTCTTTAAACACAAAGCTGTTATAAAAATTCCCATTTGGGTTTCTAATGGATTTTGGCAGATATTTAATTTTCTCATATAGTTTAAAAAAAAAGTAAAATATATTTATATTCAAAAGTAATCACTAATATTCCTGTGCAACAGAATATATTTAATATCTAATCTAATTATAAGATTTTTAACAAAGAAAACAAGTTTTCCATAAAAATCTAAAAATATAAAACCGAAATTTGAAAGTAACTTTTTTAATGTTTTAATATTTTTGTACCGCAGAACAGACTTAATATTAAATTCTTTGTGAAACAACTAATTTATTTGTGAGATTAGAGCGCCAATGATTTTTTTTATTATTTAAAAATAGAAAGCATATTTTCTTTGGCTAAGGCAAAATACCGATAATTCTGGGAATTTTTATTCATAAATGGCTGGCCATTCCTGGAAATTCCAGAGCAGCTTGACAAAGCGAGTCTCCCGATCAGTGGAAGCCGCTTAGCTGAAAGAGGGAAACTGCAACTGCATCGCCTTTTTTATCATCCTTCGTCGGAATAACCGCCCCCTAAAACCCCCCACTTGCCTCGACACATGTTCTTTTTACGCTTTTATGGCACATAATCAAATGGTTGGATTTGGCTGTTTAATGAGCTTGTTCCACATCAACTGGCCCGCACACACAGAGCCACACTATATATGGCACTACGATATGGAAGACATAAAAAAATATCATATTACCACCGAATGGCAAACTAAAGAGTGGGGTTTTTGAGCTGGGGTGCTAATCCCCTTTCGCTATGCAGTAAAATTTATGTGCGCATTTTATTGGTTCTAAAAAAGAACGAAAATTAAAGAAAATGTGGGAAAATGTAGGAAAATGTGGAAAAGCAAAACATGCACATCAAATGGGAGATGGGCAACGAGATATGGGCAGGGGAGTCCGGGCCAGAGCTTTATTTTTAATTTGATTGAATTCAGTTTTGTTGGGGTTTTAATTAAAAAGGGAAACAATAAAACCCGACTTACGTACAGTTGCTTCGGGGGAAAGAAGAAGGCCACCAAACAGTTTTAAAATATTTTAAATTAGCCTCCTTAGGAATTATTCAACATATTTTGCCTGCAAGTCATGGCTTTATTTGATAATGATTTTATTTCAATGTGCTTCTAAAATATTTTACAAGGTATTCATTAATTTGTATATTTTTTTAACCGAAAGAAAATTAAGTTAACCGTTTTTCATTTTAAGTTAGTTAGTGCTTTTTAAATATTATTTTAAAGTATTTATTCACATTTGTATTTTCTGGCAGAAATAAAATTAAGTTGGCAGTTTTACATTAAAAAATTTAATATTTTATTGCCTTTTAGTTTAGATATGAGATACAAAGTATTCATTCATAATTGTATTTCCATGCAGAATGAAAGTAATGTAAATAAATTGAAGTTGTGGTAAATTCCATTTTTTACGGTTTTCGCTTTAACTCACCGTATTTTCTAGGCTTTCAACATATTATTTTTAGTGAACTTTTAATTTGATTGAATTTTTGGATTCGTTGCCGTTTTTAATTAAAAAGGCAAACCCAATAAGGCCCGACTTGCACTTACTTTCAGTTGTTTTGTGGCTTTCCCTCGGCAATTTATTTGCTCGCCCACTAACTTTCTGCAGTTGCGGGCAAACTAAAATGGAAATTGTGTGCATTGTGTTGAGGGCGGCAGTTGGAAGAAGCTGTGGACTCAGAAAACAGGGAACAAGAGCCAGCCGCTTAATTAACGTTGGGTTGGCCAAGTTGGAATCGAGTTGGCCACATCAAAGTGGCTATCAAGAGCTCTCATTATCAGCTGAGGTCTTGGTCGAATCGAAAACGATTCAAAATATTTTATGGTTTCCAGAAATATTACCCATTATACGAAAGACAAAGGTTGCCCACTTTGAATTTTAATTACAATTTGTGACTAAAGGTTCCCATAATTTGTTGGTTTTTAATTCAACATCCCACATTCAAAATTTCTAATTAAACATCATCGATAAATATTTTTGGTTTACAAGTGCACACAAAAATCAAATTAAAATCAGATTTATTCATTAGCATTCACAATGTCCAAGTTTAATTAGCAAAACGATTTTACCTTTGTCTCATTTGCGGTAACATCACTTTCGTCGACAATGTTGTGGATATTCAGAACCATTTTATTTCACTAGCACTAGTTTCATCCGACATTTAGTATTTGTCTTTGGTATTTGGGGGTTTCGCGGGGTGAAAGTGGAAGTGAAAGTGGATGAGAAGGAAAAGCTGCGGCCAAGCTGGTCGAAAGGCAACTAACTTCATTCAAATAAATACTAGCAATATATATATCGAGGCACCTCCGAAATTTACATATATACGGAAAGGAAAAAAGAGTTAGATGGGGGGTGATACTTACGCTCCTTTGGGAGGGGGGCTTAAACCTAGGCTAAAATGGCTAAACGCAGCCGACGTATTTTAGTTGTAGGAGAAAGTGAGAGAGCTTGCAACTACTTTTCAGCTAATGACAAAAATTGTGTGAGCAGAGTAAAGTAGCAGAGGAGAGTTTTTTATTATTATATATTTTTTTTGTTTGGTTTTCTGTTTTGTTGTTTGTTGACGCCCACTAAAGCCGTTTCAACTAGTTAAAGTATTCGAGAGGTAAAGTGTGAACAGGAAAAAAATAGAGCAAAACGAAAGCCAAGCTAAATATTTGTCTAGCTAAAATGCAAAAGGCAACGAAAGTTATGCGCTTCAGTTTAGTTTGCCTTCTTGCTTTTTATTTTGCTAAATACCCTTGCAGTATACTTTTAAAAAATATTTTAATATATTTCATATGTTTACTTTCAATACAGCCTAAACTTTAGGTAAAGTTATTAAGTAACTCGATTTTTCATATGTTTACTTTCTGTATATCCTGTATTTTATATGAAGTCATTAAATAATTTTAATGTTTTTTTAAATTTATAATTCAACCAAATTCGAAAATATTTTTCAAGCGTATTTGTAAGTTTTTCTAATAATTTCACCATGCGTAGTAATAAACCTATTACTTATTTCTAAAAAAGTTTTACTTTTAAAAAATATTCTTTTAACTTGAATGTTGGTTCCATTTTCTCTGCAAGGGTATTTCGAAGCTCTGAACTCCATCAGTTTTGGTAGTTGGCTTATCTATTTTTTGGTAGTGAACATCACGCACTTTGCTACTTAGTGAGGGGAAATAGTCAATGTTTTTGTATGTGGTTTCTCTGTTTGTTCGGATGAGGGGCAGTGGATGATGGGTGGGTGATTCGCTGGTAATTCGTGGTACTCACCCCAATCCTCCCGAGCAGCAGGGCGTCCATTTCGCCACCGTTTTGGGCCACTGGCACTGTGGTTATCACCGATATGGTCGGCTCCTGCTGTCCACTCAAATCGACCGACATGCCGCTGCTTTTACTCAACTATATATTTCTTTTGTGAATATATGTTTGTTTTCCGATCGTTGTACTTTTGCCGAAGTATTAATTTGGGCGACGGTTATGGTTATTATTATTTTACGGCTACTATTATTATTGTTATTATTCACTGGGTGCTCAGTCGTAGTCGTCGTCGTTTTTGGCAAAGCGGAGAACAGAAGCTGCAGCAAAATTCCATGAATCGAGGGTACTTTTAATTGAATTACTAATTGCCAGTGACAGGTCAGCGGAGAAAAACCGAATCAGGGCCCAAGTGGAATATTCAACTATTAATTGGCAGTGGCGCGTGCCGATGGCCAGCACAAGTTGGCCAACATAGAACCGCAAAAGTTGCCAATAACAATTAGGAAAAAATGGAAGCGACCGCAAAAAAATATGATTTTATGGTCAGCTTTTGTGGTAACAAAGAGAGAAAATTCCGGATGAACAAAAAATAGATATCTAATGGATAGAGCTAAGCTTACAACCATTTCTTTTGTTATTATTTTATCCATACATTTATTTACCCTTACATTTGGTTTTAAATCGGATTAACCTTAAGCCATTATAAATATTTTTTTTCAACGCTTGCTAATCAGATTTCCTGGAAAGCGCTCCTTTGATCTGCATTTGCAAAAACCAATGCTCAAAGGCTTTCTTTTCGAATTATCCGCTTGAAATCGCATTAAAATTCCCCGAGATATTGAGCTTTACAGGGTAGCACAGGATGCTGACAAATAACAATTCCAATAAGCCGCGATTCTAATTAAACATGACGAGCGATTCTCGAGGGAGGGGGAAAGCAGCGGAGAAAGCTGTGGAGAAAGCAGCGAAGAGCAGCGACCCGGCACGTCTGTCAATAAACCCGGGAAGACATTCAAGACATATGACAACTGACAGTCCCTGAGGACAGCAGTGTTCAAGACATTAGTGGATTAGATTAAATTCTAATAGATTAAGTTCTAAAGTTTTTTTATAGGGCATAACTTATTTATTTAGTTTGTTAGTTAGTTTAACAAAAATTCCCGTGTGAAAGAGACAAAAATGTTTTCATTCCGAGATAAACTACTACATTTCTCTAAAACAAATTAAAAAAATATTTTAAAATATTTTTAATTTTTTAACGTTAAGTTCTTAGTTAAATACTTTATTTCAAATATATTTAAATTACATTTTTAGCAATATTTTATTTAAATCTCATTTATCGCTATTAAATATATTATTATTTTGAATACATCTGTATAGACATATACCCTACACATATTTATATACTTTACATGGCGGCTGGTGCTGACACGTTGAAAATTCCATTTTCAAAGCTAAAACGTCTGTTTGTCCCCAATGATTATGCCCCCCATTTCCATTTCCCTTTTCGCATTTCCCATTTTCCACCTGCACCACGCGTCGTATGCGCAATTTGTAAACGCTGAAAATTTGTATTAACGGCATTACACACGCTTTACGAGCAGCCAGGGAGATGGAATAAAAGCCAGAACGAGCCAACAGCAAGCAGGTAACCCACACGGCAACAAAAATTAAGTGCTTTGCACTAAAAATAATCAGATTTAGCGAAAAACCCAAAGAATAGCTAATAATAATATTTTTCAAAAATCATTTTGGTTTTAGTTTATAGGAGCTACTAAATATTTAAGTAGCTCAAAGTAGTTAAATAGTTTTTGAAATATTTTTAAGTAAGCTTAAGACCACCAATACTTTTCGCTCAGTGCACCTAAGGTGACAACTAAACGGCTGTGAAATTGTATTTGTTTTTTTACATTTACTTGGCGCCGGGCAAAAAATGTGTCACCTCAAGTTGAACAGGCCATCAAAAACACAAAAACAGCGCGAAAGTGAGAAAATAAAGCGAAGTGAAGGAAGTGAAACTTTTCGCCAGAATTGTGTATTGCCACAGAAACTTTCTCGATGGAAAAATGATTGAGTACATAAAAAGATAAATGCCGGAAAGGTGTAAACTTTCCCGGCGGTAAGTTATGAACTCCATCGAAAAGCAATTCCTGTTGACAATCAAATTGAATCGACTGATGGCGGTCAAGTGGAGGAGTCCCCAAAAAACACATAAATATATCCACATACGTGTGGGAAAATGGGTAGATGTGAAAATGTGAAATCCAGCGCCCACGCACTTGCTAATTTGGCTTTAATTTGCATTTTAATACGCAATATTCATAATGGTCCCAAGTCAAACAACGAGGCGCATGCGTGATGTGCGAGCGAAAAAACCAAGGGAAAGCGGAAAAAAAGGAGGAGAATAAAGGGGGGACGCACTCGTATCATCAGCATTAATATGCAAATCAAAAAATGGGCCCAGCAACGCACTGCATACGTAATTATGCAACCGGAACGCGGAAAAACGGAAACAAGGATTCAGATTCAGATTCAGGCGGGTATTCAGACTCAGATTCAGTTTCAGCCCAGTTAAAACCAGATGCAGTCAACGGATTTCGCACATTCATGTCCGCCGCTCACAGTGGTCTTTATATTTTTATTCATTTCATTTTATATTTTACCCCAATAAATACAAATATGAAACCTCTTTTCTATGCCTTTTGTTTGCTTAAAAAATAATAATTACTAAATTAAATTATTATAAATATTTTATAAAATTTTATAAAGCTTTTTTTCCACTCAATTTAATTTGACTTGAATTGTAATGGACTAATTATTATTTAATTATTTATTATTTTCTTTCCTTACGAACTTTTTTCCCTTCTACCAATTTCAATGAGTAAATAAAATTCATAATTTAAATAAAATAAAATTAGTAAATCACCCGCTACAGCGGTAGAACGTCTTTCCACTGCCACGCCCATTTCGACGGCCACTGCCACGCCCCTCACCTGGGGACCCCCCCGCCCCTTAAGGTTCCTCATGCATGTCGAGCGCTCTTCCAAAGAAGCGAAGAACGAGCGGGGATACTGGGCTAATTGGCAGGAGATGGTAATTAAATCAGAACAAGTATTCACCCACAGATCCCTGAACCAAATGTGCAAACTGGATTTTATTTGAATTAACTAAGCGAGGGAAACTAGAAATTATATTAGACAATTTTTATGGGAAATAAAGTTAATTCGAAAATGTTGAAATTCTGTTATACTATCTATTCTTTTCTATGGTCAGGGTTATTATGTCCAAATAATAATTATTAATTAATTAAATGTATAAACACGATCATTAGACATCGGATTGTATTCTAAGCAAACATTGATTAAATATAAATTGGGATAACAATTAGATTTAGGATTTATATATATATTTAACGATCATACTTTGCAGGGTATTCCCGGAGTCGTATTGCCCTTAAAAAACCATAACCAGCTGAGGATAAATAGAAATGTGGTGGTGGGGCGACAGGCAACAACCAAATGGTTTCGGCCAGTCCCGGAGAAAGTGGAGAAAGTGGAGTGGGAAATTATGCATGAGCGCCCCAGTGGTTCGCAAGTGCAAAAATGCGAAATGCAAAATGCGAAATACAAAATGCAAGAACCCCTCTAAACGCCGGCCATGTGCAATTGAGAGAACGCTTTCAACTGTCAAGTTTGCCATGGCGAAATGCAAATAATTGACAGGGACTCCCCCCCTGAGTATCCAAGTATCCAAGATCCGGCATCCGGATACGGACTCAGATTCAGATACAGATTCAGATTCAGATACAGATCCCGATTCGTATTCGTATTCGGTGGCTTTCTTGTGTTTATTTACTTATTTTCTTGCCTCGTTCAAGCGCCATTAGCAGTGGCAAGCAGCTCCTGGCCAGTTCTTAATTTGGCTGTATTTTTTTTTGCCTTGCCCTACGGCTTTGTCTCGCCTGAAATACAAAAAAAAAAGGAAAAAGGAAAAAAAATAAAGAAATGGCCGCAACATAATTTCCGCTTTGGCTGCTTTGACCAACTTATTTTCTCTTCTTTTTTTTGGCTTAATTTTCCTACGCGCTTTTCTTCTAATTTTCATTTGAACTTTTCGACGGCGGAGGCCAGAGGAAAAATGTTTGGCACGCTTCGTTAGTTGCCGCCACCCAGCGCCTTTCCCTTCTCGCAGGGCGCGAAATTTCCACTTTGTTGGTCTTAATTAAATTGCATTGAGAAGCTGCCGAGGATTCGAGGGGATTCGGGGACTCGGGAGTCTTAGAAGGAAGCACTTAAAGTGCCAAAGCTGGCGACACTGCTCCTCCTTTTCAATTGCTGCGGCTTCGCTCCGCCAATCGCTCATAATTACAAGTGTTCCGTTCCCCAAAGTTCCCCCAAGTCCTCTGAATTCAGCACATCACATCGATTGAAATTCAGCTGGAACAATGCAGGGTGAAAAGTGAGGGAGCCACATGTCTAAGATACAACATTTAATTGAAATTCTCTGAGAAGTAGAAGAAAATATCACAAATTATCATCGCAACCATAGCAGAAAACCGACTGCTTGCACTGCTTCGTTCCAAAACTTTCTTTAACATCATCTTCCTTTTTGTAGGTAATAATAAATAATTTTTAATAGATTTAATAAATTATTTACAGCCTTCAAAATGTCTATAAAATATTTATAATATATTTTATTTATAATATGTAATATAATATGTTAATTTCAAAAAACCAACAGAACTTTTTTGGCAGCTTTCTAAAAACTTTTTTGGATATATTTGTTTGATGAAAATCAAAATGTTATATCTGTTTCATAGAACTATAACTTTTTACAATGACCTAATGACACCAAATGAATTTTTAAAATCAAATAAACTATTAATAGCCCTAAAAATTTCCATAAAATATTTAAATAATATTTACGCAATAATATATTTAATCTACTTAGCTGAAATCGCTAACAGAACTTTTGTGACAGCCCTCTACACGAATTTTTTGTTAGAACTTGCCACCAATTTTACAAACTGATTGCCGGCGTGTTTTTAAACATTCCTCGGGCTGTGCTTTTTATGCCGTATGCCACATGCAAATTGAGTTTCGCTTCGGTTGGATCGTTTGACATGTTTAGCCACAGATTTGCAGCTCGGATGTCACGACTGCGAATGCGAATGCCGCAATTGGGCGCTTAATTGAGCGGAAGGTCGCCATCGCCATCGGTGGGAAAGTTAATTAAAATGCGCTTTTGAGTTATTCAGATATTTATTTGCACTCGACTGACGCCATATGAGAAATGCATTTTTAATGTGACACCACAG